CCAGGGCTCTTGTTACCTAGTTGGGTAATGAAATGTCTTCAAGAAAACAACCAAGCTCAGAGAACACCAAGGACCCCACAGTTCAACCCAGAGATACAAATATTCTCTATTATTGGTGTCTTTAAACTGTTTGCTTGCGTGGCCTGAGCATCAAAATCTTGACAATGTCTTGTGCTTGGGCATTGATTTTAATTATATACCCATCAATTTGAGAAGGTCACGGAAGCGCTGTTTGGAAGATGACCGATAGTAACTTTTAAATTCAAACGTTAGAGCAAGGGTTTTTAAAACCTGGCAACCTTAAGACGTGTGAACTTCCAACTCCCAGAATTCTTCAGCCATCCATGCTAGCTCAGGAATTCTGGGAGTTGAAATCCACAAGTCTTAAGGTCACGTTTGGAGACCCCTGTCAGGGTGGCAATTAATCCCATTCTGCTTTTGGGTAATTGCACCTTGATTAGAGAAATGGATCGTGACTATTTCCTTGAAGTATACTTTAAGAAAATAAACCCGAAGATATGTTTTCTAAGAAAAACTCATTTATTTGTTATAAAGAAAATAAAACATCTTACTAGCTAATTAATTACATCTTGGCAAAGCTTTCCCGGCCACCTCTCTTGGCCGGAGAACAAAGAAAAGAAAAAAAAAAGTGAAGGAATGTGGACATGCGCAGTTGGCTTACTGATAAGAACTTGGCAAACTACGGTAAGTCTGAAAGTTCAAAAATAAGAGCTCATCTGGTCAATACAAAAACGCAGCGACAACCCCTGCGTTAAAAGGATTCACCAACAGATATTTTCCTGAAAGATAAATTTCTAATGTGTATCGCTATGGGATATTTGCGCTGGCAAATATTGGAATGGTCAGTATTGACCATGCTGTATTTTTCTCTTCTTCGCAGGACCGATTTGCTTTTGCTCTCTCTTTGAAAAAGTTTTCATATAGATAGAAACCTCTGCTTGAAAAAACTATAGTGCTTTGCCCTTGATAAAGTGTAGGTTTGGACAAGCAACATATTAACTGCAGAGAAGTTTTACTGAGCATAAAAATGTGATTTCCAGCTTATTACTGTGTATACACAGGCAATTAATTATTAATGGATTATCTTGTCTTTTGTTTGCTGTATCCATTTCAATAGTTTCAGAGCAAAAGGTTTTCTTCTCTCTCTATATATATATATATTTCCTCCCTTCCTTTGCAAATGTTTTGTTGATTTTCTTCATGAACGTTTTAATGGAGTGCACGTTGAGATGCCCTTCGAGGATATTTCTGCGGTGTCAGCAGAAATAAGAATATTAAACATTTGTTGCCTTAATGTGAAGAGTTATTATATTCAGAACTGCTTAGTTTAGATGGATTTCAGGAAACTTTTCCTAGACTGAGACAATGAAATGGAATGGAACTGAACTGAACTGATCCAAATGGAATGGGAGAATGAGAGAAGAGAGAATGAACGAAATGAACAGAAAGGGAGAAGATAGAATGGATTGGAATGGAATGGAATGATAGGGAAGGGAAGGGAGGGAATGGAATGGAATGGAATGGAATGGAATGGAATGGAATGGAATGGAATAGAGAGAAGAAGGGAAGGGAAGGGAAGGGAACCGAACGGAACGGAATAGAGAGAAGATAGAATGGATTGGAATGGAATGCAATGATAGAGAAGGGAGGGAACAGAACGGAACAGAACAGAACAGAGAGAAGATAGGATGGAATGGAATAGAGAAGAAGGGAAGGGAAGGGAACGGAACGGAACGGAACGGAACGGTACAGAACAGAGAGAAGATAGAATGGAAGGGAAGGGAAGGGAATAGAGAGAAGATAGAGTGGATTGGAAGGGAAGGGAAGGGAAGGGAAGGGAACAGAACAGAAGATAGAATGGAAGGGAAGGGAATGGAAAGGAAGGGAAGGGAAGGGAAGGGAGGGAATAGAGAGAAGATAGAGTGGATTGGAAGGGAAGGGAAGGGAACGGAACAGAACGGAACAGAACGGAACGGAACAGAACAGAAGATAGAATGGAAGGGAAGGGAAGGTAATGGAACAGAGAGAAGATAGAATGCAATGCCATGCAATGGAAGGGAAAGGAACAGGGCCGATCACTAGGAGACAGGGAGTTCTAGTCCCAATTTAGGCATGAAAACCAGCTTGGCCAATCACCAGGAGACCGAGAGTTCTAGTCCCACCTTAGGCCTGAGAGTTGACCTGGTGACCTTGAGCCAGTTTCACACACACACTCAGCACATGTCACAAATTTGTTGTTGTTTTGGGGGAAATAGGAGGAGGAAGGAATGTTAGATACATTTGCCTACCTTGAGTTAGCTATAAAAATAACGAAGGTGGAATTAGAAATAAATGATGGTGGGCCATAGCTATGTGAACTGCTGCATTTCTAGATCAACGGCGGTCTTCAACGCAGCCCATTTTCCTCCTTATTGGGTCAGCGTTTAGCACACAGATTAGGGCAGGGGTATCAAATTTAAGGATCCGGAAGGGAGGAAGGAAGGGAGGGAGGGAGGGAGATTATAGTGAGAGTGAGAGTGAGTCTGAGGGAAGTCCTGCCTTAGCACTTGGCCTCTACAGGCACCCCCAACATGAGTGATGTCGAGCTGGCCACGCCCACCCTGGCCCCGAGATCAAACACAACCCTGATGCGGCCCTCAATGAAATCAAGTTTGACACCCCTGGATTAGGGGGCTATTGTGATTGCCATTTTTAATGCTCTTCATCAGTCCGTTGATCGATGGTGACCCACCAATTGTACAAAGCCATCACATGGAAACAAGTCCTGATTATACGGGGATTTCACGCAGCTGAGTTTCCCAGGTTGGCTTGTCTCATTAGGCAGGTCTGGCCTTCCCCCACCCTTATGCTTTACGTTCAGAAAGCCCAATGGAGAAAACATGGAATAAATGATTTATCTAGCGGATGTTCACATATTTCCTGTTTTGTCAGCCTGTTGTAACTCCACTAGGCCCTTTTCCATTCATCCCGTAGCGCAGGTGCCACTGCTCCAAACACCCACACTTACAAAGAAACGCAAAACAAAAACACACCTTGTAATTTGACTGTAATTGCTTGCCCCTTTCTTACTCCTCCATCTCCACTGAACCCAAGTCTTAGCTAGCTAGAGCTTCAGTTGTTTTAACCAGTCTAGAAATGAAAGCTAAATTGTACAGGGCTTGCAAGTTGCTTTAACCCTTGTGATTTTCCCTTCAGGTCCCTTGACGGATCGCTCAAACCTGTTAGAGCAGAACCTGGGAAGGAAATAGACAAAAACACTTTTCGCTTTGAAACACGGATTATTATGGCGAGTCAGGGGAGGTGATAGGCAGGCCCATCTTGCTACTCTCCCTGATTACTCCTAAGTGGTGTAATCCTTTCTCATACTGCGCCAGGCAGGGAAAGCTGACAAGAAAGTACCTGAGATAGAAAGAAGGAAACACGGAGGAAGGAAACATCCTCGATTTACAACCATTCTTTTAGCGAGTGTTCAGAGTGTTCTCACAACCGTTGCAATATCCCCATGCTCATGTGATCAAAATTTGGGTGCTTGGCAATCAGCATGTACAGCTAGTCCTCGACTTTATAACTCGTTCATTTGGCGACCGTTCAAAGTTACGACGTCCCTGAAAAAAAGCAACTTATGACTGCTTTTCACACTTACAATCGTTGCGGCACCCCCATGGTCATGTGATTAAAATTTAGACAGTTGGATCATGTGATCCCCCTTTTAAGACCTTCCGTCAAGCCGAGTCAATGGGGAAATGAGATTCACTTAACAACAGTGTTACTCACTTAACAACTACAGGGATTCACTTAATAAACGTGGCCAGAACGATCATACAATGGGGCAAAACTCACTTAACAAATGTCTCACTTAACAACAGAAAGTCTGGGCTCAATTGTGGTCGTAAGTCGAGGACTACCTGTTTTTATGCAACATCCCTGGGTCATGTGATTGCGATGAATTGTCCCACAGCTGTTGTGACCTAGGCTTCCTCAGTCATTAAAACACACGAGTAGTCCCAAAAACCTCTTTTATTGCAACAGCTGTGAATTACGTTCATTCACAGCTGAGTCCCAATTAGTTGCAAAAAGTCCTTCGGGAGAAGTCCTTCGGGATAATCACCAACCTTTATCTCAGTGGTGAAATCTAAAATTTGTTACTACCAGTTCTGTGGGCGTGGCTTGGTGGGGGTAATGTGACTGGGTGGGCGTAGCCAATTTTTTTTTTTTTTACTTTTAAAACCATTTTTTACATGTAAAACCATGTAAAAAATGCTTTCAAAAGGCTCTGACGATCCCAGCTGAGTTGCCTGATCGTCAGAGGGTTTTTAAAAAACCCTCTGCCGATCAGGCAACTCTGCTGGGATTGTCAGAGCTTGGCTCGTCAGAGCTTGGCTCGTCGGAGGCATTTAAAAGAAAAAAGGCCTCTGATGATTGCGTTGCTCAGCTGGGCATGGGGGGTGGGGGCAGGGATTTTTGGTACTGGTTCTCTGAACTGTCCGCCGCCATTGCTACCTACTCGCCCGAGCCGGTCCGAACCAGGAGCATTTCACCCCTGCTTTATCTCCCTTGACATGCTGCCAAAAGACCTACTTGGTAAAGCCACACGGAGTCCAAAATCAAACAGAGATGCCGACTGGGAACAGAATTAACAATGTTGCTTTCCTGCAAAGGGCCCACGTGCCTTTGCTCCTCTTTTAAGCCTTATGGGAGGGGCCAATCATCTCATAAATCATAAATCATTGATTTCATAAATCAAATAAATAAATAAAATAAATAAAATCTGTCCTGAAGTCTGAGACTTCAGGCATGGGATTCACTCTGTCTTCTAGCTCTGCAGACTGGGTTGTAACTGAAGAGATGCCCCCTCTGCTGAACCTCCCAGTTTCAACTCAGTCTCGAGCCAGTTCAGACGGAGTTTGAAAAACTTGCAGATTTTGGCTAGAATAGGAGGAATTGTCAGAAATTGGAGTCTTTTCTCTCTTCTTTTTCAGGACATTGTCCACCAGTGATGATGTCGAGGACAGAGAACACGAGAAGGGCCGCCTGGAGGAGGCGTATGAAAAATGCGACCGCAATTTGGACGAGTTGATCGTTCAGCACTACACCGAACTGATGACTGCCATCTCCACCTACCAGAGTATCACTGAACGCATCACCACTTCTCGCAACAAAATCAAGCAGGTGAAATTCAAGGTGGAAGATTTTTCCGGCACAAGATTGACTTTACGTACAATACAAGCCCAGAGTTATTTCCTTGCGATGTGTCTTACAGTGCCTTTTGCCGAAAATGGCACCCCGTATGATGCAGGCTAGGAAAATATTTAATTAACACAATACGAATGGAATTCTTCCTTCGTTTCTCGACCCCCTCCCCCACCCCCCAAAAGTTCAGGGATGGGTGCCAAACAATATACCTGGGGAGAAATCCATGTTGTGTGTGTTTGGATGTAGATATGCGTAACACGGATATGGTAATGTCCTTTCCTGGGCTGGTGGGCAAATTAATTTCTTAAAAGCTAATTGAGGCTCTAGCTTACCTGGAATCTGTGCTCACAGATCAGATATGTTCCTTGCGGCTGCAGTTATAACAGTGAGGAAAAAAATATACTCTGCACACGGTCAGAATAGCACATTTTATAATCATTTTTCATTTTTCCCTTTAGAATCATTTACTGCATTCTAACCCCTTCCTTCCTTCCTTCCTTCCTTCCTTCCTTCCTTCCTTCCTTCCTTCCTTCCTTCCTTCCTTCCTTCCTTCCCACTTAAACTTATATACTGCAAGTGATTTACTGAGTCAGTCTATTGTCCCCAAGAATCTGGGTCCTCATTTTACTGATCTCGGAAGGATGGAAGGCTGAGTCATCCTTGAGTCCGTCAGGATCGAACTGCCAGCAGCCAGCAGAATAGGCCTGCAATACTGCAGTCTAACCACTGCGCCACCACGGCCCTTCCTTCCTGCCTTCCTTCCCTCCTTGAGTTGGTAAGATCAAACTCCTGGCAGTTGGCACAGTTAGTCTGCAATACTGCATTCTAACACTGTGCCACCACGGCCCTTCCTTCCTTCCTTCCTTCCTTCCTTCCTTCCTTCCTTCCTTCCTTCCTTCCTTCCTTCTTTTCCCCCCCCCCTCCTTCCTTCCTTCCTTCCTTCCCAAGCAATAGCATTTATATTTATATACTTCTTGTGTTTTGACAGCCCTCACTAAGCAGTTTATAGAGTCGGTACATTGCCCCCAATGGTCCTCATTTGACTGATCTCGGAAGGATGGAAGGCTGAGTCAACCTTGAGTTGTCAAGATTGAACTCCTGGCAGTCAGCAGAATTAGGCCTGCAACACTGCAGTCTAACCACTGCACCACCATGGCCCTTCCTTCCTGCCTTCCTTCCCTCCTTGAGTTGGTCAAGATCAGACTCCTGGCAGTTGGCACAGTTAGTCTGCAATACTGCAGTCTCACCACTGCCCTCCTTCCTTCCTTCCTTCCTTCCTTCCTTCCTTCCTTCCTTCCTTCCTTCCTTCCTTCCTTCCTTCCTTCCCACTTAAACTTATATACTGCAAGTGATTTACGGAGTCAGTCTATTGTCCCCAAGAATCTGGCTCCTCATTTTACTGATCTCGGAAGGATGGAAGGCTGAGTCAGCTTTGAGCCGGTGAATGGAAGGGTCTGGAAGGAAAGGAAAGCTTCTGGCATCTCTGCACAGAAGGGCCCTTTCTCTTGGGACCCTTCCTCCTAACCCTCACGAACTTTCCAAATCCATTTAGTCTCTCCAGAAGGGAGTGAGGGCAGTCTGGTCCCTTCCAAGGAGAGCCGTTTATTTCAAGGATTGATGTACAAGGTTCAGCTCTGTGTGTGGAGGCAGAGATCAATTACACAAAATTCAGAAATAAACTGTAGGGCAGGCTGACTCAATACAATTAAGCTCTGCACAGGTCAGAAGCAGATGTAGAGGCCGAATGACCTTGGGGTACCACCTTGAAATCTCCATTGCGGATGAAGGACCTTTTGGTATTTACTCTGCCTGATTAGATTCAGGCATCATGTATTGAAATGATTTGTGAAGATACTCAGGGCTCTTCTCTTCTCTTCTCTTCTTTCTTCTCTTCTCTTCTCTTCTCCTTCTTTCTTCTCTTCTCTTCTCTTCTCTCCTCTCCTCTCCTCTCCTCTCCTCTCCTCTCCTCTCCTCTCCTCTCCTCTCCTCTCCTCGCCCCACCTTGCTCTCCCCCTCCTTTCTTCCTCTCTAGTCCCTCTCTAGTCCCTTCCCTTCCCTTCCCCCCATTCTCCTCTCCTCCCCTCTCTTCAGTCCCTTCCCTTCCCCTCCCTTCCCCTCCCCTCTCCTGCTCTCCTCTCCCCCTCCTCTCCCTCTCTCTAGTCCCTTCCCCTCCCCTCTCTCCCTTCACCCTCCCCCTCCCTCTCCTCTCCCCTCCATTCTCCTAACTCCCCTCCTCTTCCCCTCCCTCCTTTTTCTCTTCCACCTTTCTCTCAAATATTGGTCCGTTTAAATAATCAGCCCTCCATGGCTGCATCCTCTCTTTTGCTCTTTAGAAACTCTTTAAGTTTTTTTAAAAAAATATTGCATGTATTAAATTCAGGGTTCTTTGCCTGCGTCCTTGAGGCAAAAATTGGAAAGGGGAGGGGTGGGCAAGAAAGCGTCTCTGATGCTTGCTGGGTTTTTTTTTCAACCTCTAAGTTATTTTTTTTTTTTCAGAATTATCCTTTGCTTGATCCACCAAAGGTCATTGGGGGTTATCAGTCTTTCCTTGCATTATTAATCCTCCCATCAGCCTGGAGAGAGAGGCTCATACAGCATATATGCGTGAGTGTGCTTGAATGACAGAGTGAGCGACTGTATCGGTCAAGATTGAAAGCCGGGCTTCTGTCCACGGTATAATCCATCTTCACTTTTTAAATTCTAGAATCAGAAAAAAGAAAAATCACCTGTAAGCAGATGTGGCAAAACATTGGTGTACTTCAGATTGCCATCAATATGGGATGTGGCTTTCTCCGGCACAGGGATCAGCGTTTTTAGCTGAGGCTAATCGTTTTTGCTGTTGATTTATTAGCCTTAATATCTAATTAAAACTCAAGTTACAAGAGACAAGTTTCCAGATGGTAGTTGGAAAAAAACGTCCCAACAAACTGAGCAGTTTTACCGTAGTAGTGGGACCAGTTGACTTAACCAGACTGGGATTTTTGTTTGTTTGTTTGTTTGTTTGTTTCCCTTGTATTTGTCAGAAATTTACTTTGGATTTCTGGGTAAAGCAGAGGTTGAATTTGGTCTAAAGCAGGGGGTCTCCAACCTTGGCAACTTTAGGACTTGTAGACTTCAACTCCCAGAATGAATGAATGAATGAATGAATGAATGAAATGAATGAATGAATGACTTTATTTATTTATTTATTTATTTATTTATTTATTTATTTATTTATTTATTTATTTATTATATTTCTATACCGCCTTTCTCCCATAGGACTCAAGGCGGTGTACAGTTAAGAAAAATATAGATACACAAACATCATAAAATTGCTAATTAAAATTATCATAATAACATAGTTTGGCCCAATTAAATAAAAGCTAAAATTAGATAACATTTAAAAAACATTCACATGTTCATATGTTTAGCCCCGCCTGTTGGAACATCAGGGTTTTGAGGGGGCACGGCGGAAAGCACGGAGATCAGGGATATTCCGTATCTCCGGGACAGTTCATTCCAAAGGGTTGGAGCCCCCACAGAGAAGGCCCTCCCCCTGGGAGTCGCCAGTCGGCATAATTTGACTGACGGTACCCTGAGTAGTCCCTCCCTGTGAGAACGAACTGGTTGGTGGGAGGCTGTTGGTGGCAAAAGATGGTCTCGTAGGTAGGTCCTAGCCATGGAGCGCTTTAAAGGTGATAACTAACACTTTGAATTCCTCAGCCAGCAAAGCTTAATTGGCTGAGAATTCTGGGAGTTGAAGTCCACAAGTCTTAAAGTTGCCAAGGTTGGAGACCCCTGATCTAAAGGACATTTATTAACGCTGTGATGTTTTTTTAGGAAGTATGCTTTGAAGGCTTCAACTGCAAAACTTCATTCGTTCTTCCATAGACCATGTTTCCTTAATACAGGTAGTCTTCGCCTTTCAGCCACAATTGAACCCAAAATTTCTGTTGCTAAGCCAGAGAGCTGTTAAGTGAGTTTGTCCCCTTTTTACGACCTTTCCTGCCACTGTTGTTAAGCAAATCCCTGCAGTTCTTAAGTTAGTAACGTGGCTGTTAAGTGAATCTGGCTTCCCCATTGTCTTGGTTTGTCAGAAAAGGGGATCACGTGACCCGGGGATACTGCAACCATCAAAAATACGGGTCAGTTGTCAAGCATCTAAATTTTGATCTGTGACCATGGGGATGTTGCAATGGTCATTAACGGTGAAAAAATTGCATTTCCATGCTTAGAGGGTGATATATTGCTTAGCAATAGCACTTATATACAGCTTCACAGTGCTTTACAGCCCTCTCTAAGTGGTTTGCAGAGTCAGCATCTTGCCCCCAACAATCGGGGTCCTCATTTTAACCACCTCAGAAGGATGGAAGGCTGAGTCAACCTTCAGCCAGTCAGAATCGAACTTCTGGCAGTGGTGGAGTTAGCCTGCAATACTGCATTCTAACCACTGTGCCACCATGACCCTTCCTTCCTTCCTTCCTTCCTTCCTTCCTTCCTTCCTTCCTTCCTTCCTTCCTTCCCTCCCTCCCTCCCTCCCTTCCCTCCCTCCCTCCCTCCCTATTAGCAATAGACCTTAGACTTATATATCGCTTCACAGTGCTTGATAGCCCTCTCTTAAGAGGTTTTATAGAGTCAGCCTTTTGCCTCCAACAAGCTGGCTCCTCATTTTATTGATCTTGGAAGGATGGAAGGCTGAGTCAACCTTGAGCCAGTCAGGATCGAACTGCCAGCAGCCAGCAGAATAGGCCTGCAATACTGCAGTCTCACCACTGTGCCACCACGGCTTCCTTCTTCCTTCCTTCCTTCCTTCCTTCCTTCCTTCCTTCCTCCGTCCTTCCTTCCTTCCTTCCTTCCTTCCTTCCTTCCTTCCTTCCTTCCTTCCTTCCCCCCTCCCTCCCTCCCTTCCCTCCCTATTAGCAATAGACCTTAGACTTATAATCGCTTCACAGTGCTTGATAGCCTCCTCTAAGAGGTTTATAGAGTCAGCCTTTTGCCTCCAACAAGCTGCTCCTCATTTTATTGATCTTGGAAGGATGGAAGTCAACCTTGAGCCAGTCAGGATCGAACTGCAGCAGCCAGCTAGGCCTGCAATACTGCAGTCTCACCACTGTGCCACCACGGCTTCCTTCTCCTTCCTTCCTTCCTTCCTTCCTTCCCTTCCTTCCTTCCTTCCTTCCTTCCTTCTTCCTTCTTCCTTCCTTCCTTCCTTCCTTCCTTCCTTCCTTCCTTCCTTCCTTCCTTCCTTCCCAAGCCATAGCATTTATATTTATATACTTCTTGTGTTTTACAGCCCTCACTAAGCAGTTTACAGAGTCGGTACATTGCCCCCATGGTCCTCATTTGACCGACCTCGGAAGGATGGAAGGCTGAGTCAACCTTGAGTTGGTCAAGATCGAACTCCTGGCAGTCAGCAGAATTAGCCTGCAATACTGCATTCTAACCACTGCGCCACCATAGCTCTCTCTCACTTAAGAAAGGTGTTATAGCATTGTTTTTCAACCTTACCTGCTTTAAGATCTGTGTACTTCAACTCCCAGAATTCCTCAGCCAGCCAGCCATGCTAGCTGGGGGATTCTGGGAGTTGAAGTACACACGTCTTCAAATTGCCAGAGTTGAGAAACACAGTGTTACAGCAGTGGGAGGGGGGAACCTGAGACCCAGAAAATTGGTATTTGCTCGCAAAGTCTATTTCATCTGGGACTTACCGAAAAGCTGATGCCAACGGCTGTATGATTTCTCCAGGATGTTATTGTAAGGTGAAATTGGCACTGCAATCGTGCGGCTGTTTGTTGGCTACTATGCAAAAATAGGAGTATAATCTTGTTTTTCTTCCAACGTGGTTTTCTTTTTAGATGCCAGTAACCCCTGGATATTTGGATACCTGTGCCTGTTTCATTGATTTGTCTTGTCTTAATGATGAGACGGCAGCTTCCTGCTGGTCCAAGCCACTGTTGTCAAAAGGGTGTTTTTCCCTGTCTCACCCCCAAACAGCACCGCTATATAATTTTATTTATTCATTACATTTATACGCCGCCCATCTCCCTACCCATAGCGACTCGATGCAGTAAATCCATAATAAAGTGCCTTCTCCATTTCCGTCCGTCTCAGAAGCCGTTGGGTATGTCTTATGGGATAGCATTATCTTTCTGATCTCTGGAACCACTGTGGTTGTGTAATAATTTCGGATCTTGTCACAGGTAAGGAAAGTCTCTGGGGTTTTCGCTACCTTTCCGTGTTTTTGCAAGCACTCGCAGCAGCAACACGGAAGTATACATGAGATCGGTTGTTTTTCTTTTTTTGGGGGGGAAAAAAAACCCACATGTTTTTGAATATTAGACATCTCTGGATTTGTGTTTCAAGCTTTTTATGTTTCGCCAGTGATAACAACCTCACCAGGGAGGTGTTTGCCTGTCTGCTCTTCCGCTGTTTAAAAAGTAGGAATGGGGGGGGGGGGGAAACTAGGCAATTTGTATTCGAGACAAAACAACAGTGAGAAAAGCCATTACCAGGTTTTGTGCATTGCATTGTTTTTAAATGACATTAGAGGCGTGCGGTGCAGTCCGGCCAAAATTAACAGGATAGATTTGGAGTGCCTTATAGCTGGGTCCAACGGTGGGTTCCACATATGCTTGCCACTGGTTCGCCACGCGCACACTCGCCCAGCCGCCCTCGCCACTACCGCTTTGCTCGAACCGGTACGAACCGGCTGAATACCATCTCTGGCTGGGTCCCACTTCTTGGCTTTTAGTCAGAACTCATTCCTTCTGGTATATGGACCAGGGGTGGGTTCTAATTTTTTTTACTACCGGTTCTGTGGGCGTGGCTTATTTTGTGGGCGTGGCTTGGAGGTCATGTGACTAGGTGGGCGTGGCTAGCTGGTCAGAGTCATTTCTGGAAGGTCCTCGCACTTACGACCAGTCCTCGCACTTACGACCCGACTCATTTGTTTGCTTTTAACACTGATGAGCTGTAGGGCGGCCCTTTGAAGCCCCGCGGCAAGAGTTTAAACAGTTTTTTTCCCTCTAGTCATCAGCTGGGACTCAGGAGGCAGCAATAGATTGGGGGTGGGACCAAATAAAAGGTAAGAATAATGTGGGGGGGGTGGGAGGGCGGGGGGGGGAGAACCGGTTTGGTGACGTCATATCGTCACCGTTACCGGCTCGGCCGAACCGGACCGAACCGGGAGGAACCCACCACTGATATGGACCCCTGACCTCGCTGATATTAAATTGATTTGCAGGATTTGTGCTTCTTTCCTTCAGCAGGGTTGTCCTATAGCTGACTCCCCTGGTGGATGGTTCAGTGTTTTCTCCCCTTATCATTGGAGATCCTAAACTATTCCGGGAGAGATCCAGCCTAGAATTAAGGAGAAATTTCCTGACAGTGAGAACAATTAACCAGTGGAACGACTTGCCTCCAGAAGTTGTGGCTGCTCCAAGGCTGGAGGTTTTTAAGAAGAGATTGGACAACTGTTTTGTCTGAAATAGTATAGTGTTTCCTGCTTGAGTAGGGGGTTGGACTAGAAGACCTCCAAGGCCCCGTCCAACTCTGTTATTCTGTTTTATTCAGTATTGGAGAAGGGATGAATTGGAGATGGAAATGGAATTATCCCTGTCTGCAAAATTCAGTTGGTTACACAGGTAGTTTTTGACTTAATGGCCACAACTGAGTGCAACATTTCCATCGGCAAGCAAAACAGGTGCTTAATGAGTTGTACTCCGCCCCCCCCGACTGTTTTGCCATAGTTGTTAACTGAATTGCTGCAGTTGTTAAGTGAATAATGCAGTCGTTAAACAAATCCATTTCCCTCGTTGTCTTTGCTTGTCGTAAGCCGGCTGGGAAGATCCTCAATGGCGATCGCCATGTCAGAAACCCATGCCGGTTGCTAAGCGCCCGAATTTTGATTAGGTGTCCATGGGGAGACTACGGCAGTTGCAAGCGTGAGGACCACTTGTGTGCATCACTTTTTTTCAGTGCAACTTCGAACGGTCACTAAATGAACGGTTGTAAGTCGAGCACTACTTATAGTCCTGGTTCCGTATGTCCCTGTGTTGACTGCATAAGCCACACTAGTCAAGGCTTCTGGAATAAGAGAGTACAGTGGCAATATAGGTAGTCCTCGACATCCGAGCACAACAGAGCTCAAAATTTCCGATGATGAAGTGGCTAAGGGAGTGTTGTCCTATTTTACGACCTTTCCTGTCATCGTCGTTAAGTGAATCACTGAGGCTGTTAAGTTAGTAACGCAGTTGTTAAGTGAGTCTGGCTTCCCCCATTGACTTTGCTTACAAAAGGGGGACCACAGGACCCCGGGATGTTGCGACCGTCATAAACATGAACCAGTTAAGCAAGCATCAGAATTCAGATCACGTGACCCTGGGGATTGTTTGTCTATTTGTTTGTTTATTGGATTTATTTACTGTCCTACTCCCGAAGGACTCAGGGCAGTGAACAGCCACAAAATAAAACACATAAATACAAAAATTTAAAAGCAGAATAAAACCGAATTAAACAATTTGGCCCAGACAGATTTAAAATACCCCAGTAATTTAAAAACAGATTAAAATTTACATGATAAAAGAAAAAAGGGGAAAAGATTAGGCTTCAGTTTAGGATTAGGATTCAGAAGATTAGGATTCAGTCATTAAGTGTGAAAAATGGCCATAAGTCGCTTTCAGTACCATTGTAACGATCACCAAGCAAAGAGGTTGTAAGTCGAGGAGTACCTTTTTTATTTTATTTAGTTTGTCAAACGTGTACGAGAAAACAGGTATAAATAAAAACATGGACATGAACACAGGAAATGAGTGCGAATAAATGGGGACAATAGGACAGATATGGTAGGCACGCTGGTGCGCTTATGCACGCCCCCTTTACGGACCTCTTAGGAATGGGGTGAGGTCCACGGTAGACAGTTTAAGGTTAAAGTTTTGGGGGTTTGAGGAGGTAACAACAGAGTCAGGTAATGCATTCAGGCCTTGACCACTCTGTTGCTGAAGTCGTATTTTCTGCAATCGAGTTTGGAGCGGTTTATCTTGAGTTTGCATCTGTTTTTTGATCTTGTATTGTTGCGGTTGAAGCTGAAGTAGTCATTGACAGGTAGGACGTTGTAGCAGACAATTTTGTGTACTACGCTTAGCTCAGACCGAAGGCGGCATATTTCTAGGTTGTCCAGGTCCAAAATTTCGAGCCTGGTGGCATAAGGGATTCTGTTGCGAACACAGGAGTGGAGGACTCTTCTCGTGAAATACCTCTGGACTCTCTCAATTATATTAATGTCCGATATACGGTGTGGATTCCAGGCAGACGAGCTGTATTCGAGAATTGGTCTGGCAAAGGTTTTGTATGCCCTGGTTAACAATTCGATGTTACCGGAGAAGAAGCTTCGCAAAATTAGGTTAACAACTCTTAATGCCTTTTTGGCAATGCTGTTGCAGTGAGGCTGTAGATCGTTTGAGATGAGTACTCCAAGGTCCCTGACAGAGTAAGGGTCATCTACGAGGTCGTATCCGCCTAGTTTGTATTTAGTGACCTGATTTTTGTTGCCTTCCTGATCCTCGGACTCATCTTGGTCCCTCTTGCGGTTTCCCCTTCCTTGCAGGTGAAGGAGAATCTGGTTTCCTGCAAAATGCTCCTGCACTGCAAGCGGGACGAGCTACGCAAGCTGTGGATCGAAGGGATCGAGCACAAGCACGTCCTGAATCTGCTGGACGAGATCGAGACCATCAAGCAGGTGCCGCAGAAGCTGCAGCAATACACGGGCAGCAAGCATTACCTGATCGCCACGGATATGCTGGTAAGAGGCGACCCGGTTCGCTCTCGAGACAGACAGCTGTCGCCTTCCTGTCCGCGGCGAGAGATCTCCTATCAGGACCGGAGTAATTACCTCTTGCCGTTTTTGCTCGCCGACTGCTTTGTTCTCTCCGCCTGCCTCTTTGGCGCTCTTCTGTCACTCACTCCTCCTTTTTTTAAAAAAAACCCTTCACTCTATTAACCTCTCTGGATGCTTTCAAAGCGCCAAAGACTTTGACCTGCTGTCTTTAACCTCCGATTGCTGTCCTCTCCTATCTTGTCGGTTGTCTCCACGTTTCGTGTCTGTTCCTTTTCTCTCCAACACCTCATTTCCTTACCCCCAGGAACCCTTCAGCTGTCTTGTCTGGGTTCTCAGCGTCTGCTTTTTTTTTTTTTTTTGTTTAACAGCTCGGGAAGCTTCCTTTTTTTAAATAGCTTTCTCTGTGCAGTATGTTATTTCTTTCTTACATTTCATTTTGGAGCAGCCCTGATGATTGAGACATCTGCCTCGTCTTAATGCTGCTCTCCTGTAGCTTTCTACCTGTGTCTCGAAGTTCTGGGCCTTGAAATATTGGCTGTGTGTCTTTTTTATATGAGAGGTCCTTGCTGCTCTCTGTGTCAGGTTTTCAGGCTGTCTTCAAATGAATTGCGTCTCAAACAAAGTCTTTTTTGAAACAAACTACCATTTTATTTAGCACAGCAACTTTTACACTGACTCCATGCAGCCAGCACTGACGTGCTGACCCAAAATCCCTCCTCTTCCTTCCCCCACTCCTCTGCATTCATTGGCCATCTTCCCAATCATTCACCCCTAATGTACTGCTCCAATTCAAAGAATTTCCCCCCTCCCATCCATCTCCTAAGGGACATTATCTCCAGCTAAAATAAGTAGGTGAAAGGCAACCGTCCCGTTGCAGACACTTGCGTTCTCCTTCTCATGTCAGCACTAGGATAAATGCATCTTGACGTGCTGACACTCTGAGCTTGGTGGTTTCCTGGCAGATGTTTCATGACACAAGTAGGTAACATCATCAGTGTTAGAAGAGAGGGGGTTTTGTGAAGAAGAAGAGGAGGGGGGGAGGAGGAGGACTGTGGGGTCCTTGATGCTCTCTGAGCCTGGTGGTTTTCCTGCAGACGTTTCATGGCCCAGCTAGGTAATATCATCAGTGCTAGAGGAGGGTGGGTTTTGCTTTCTGTTTATATACACATGGCTTGCACTGACAGTGTTAGTGGGACCTCCTCACCAGCAATCAACACCAGATAAGCAGAGATTTAACACCCAAGATTAATACTTGGCCAACAATCTCATTGGTACAATGGCTCTCTCTCTGTTACTTTGACCCAGGTAAGGATGTTGTGTGAAACAAGATTTGTGACTCTTCAGGGAGCTCCCCTACATTAAGTACCATGTCCTGGCCCACAAAGTGCTTTTTTTCAAAAGATAACTGGACTTCCTTGATATTCGTTTTCCCTTTGAAAACGCTTCGCTTATCATCCAAGAAATCAAACGTTTTCAGAGCCCTGGTAGCTCAGCAGACTAATAGCCTGTTATTAACATTCAGCTGCCTGCAATTACTGCAAGTTCAAATCCCACCAGGCTCAAGGTTGACTCAGCCTTCCATCCTTTCTAAGGTAGGTAAAATGAGGACCCGGTTTGTGGGGGCAATAAGCTGACTTTGTATAAAATATACAAAAGGATGAAGGCTATTGCTTAACGCACTGTAAGCTGCCCTGAGTCTCCGGAGAAGGGCGGCATATAAATCAAATCAAAAAAAAAAAAAAAGGGGGGGGGAAAGAAATCCCAAGAAAGTCCAGCTGCTTTACCTTTGGGACAACTGTGGCCTGGATGGTAGAGAATCTCCATAGACAGACCGGGTTCTGGACCACTTTATAACTGAAAGGAAAAAAACAAAAGCCTTGAGATTTGCTTCTTCCTTTCAGTGTAAGAAGCAAACTGAAAATGGAAATTCTCTGCTTTGTAGAAATGCAGTCCCCGTGTCAACCTCTGTAACAAGCCAAGATGACATTGAAACGGCCACACACGCATCGCGTACGGCCGTGTAATACGGATCGGTCAGAACATGACGCCGGACAGAAGTCGCATCATTGGTGCGGTGGCAATGTAATTACAGGCAGGTCACCTTTTGCGCCCCTCGTCTCTCGTACATGGTGGATGAAATCATTAATCCCCTCCTTCCCCCCCAAGGCTGATCAAAATGTAGGGCATGGTTATGTCAACCATTCTCAGCCAGCCCTCTTTGCCAACAGCCCTGCCTTGTTTTGTAGAAAGACAGTTAAGAACAAATGTCTGTGCCCTGATCTGCTTTGGGGGGAAACTTCATTTTAAAACGCCAGATAGTTCAAGGGTCACAATTTTTCTAGTCCTGTTCTTTCTTCTCAAGGAACGTCTGCAAGGAAACCACTCAGCTCAGAGAGCAGCAAGGACGCCACAGTTCTCCTCCTCCTCCTCCTCCTCCTCCTCCTCCTCCTCCTCCTCCTCCTCCTCCTCCTCCTCCTCCTCTCTCCACAAACTCCACTTCCTTCTAGCACTGATGATGTTCCCTAGTTGGGTCATGAAACATCTGCAAGAAAACCACCAAGCTACTACCAAGAGCCTTGGTAGTACAGTGGTCTAAGGCACCCTGTTATTAAGCTGGTTATTAAGACCAGCTGCCTGCAATTACTGCAGATTCGAATCTCGCCAAGGCTCAAGGTTGACTCAGCCTTCCATCCTTTCTAAGGTAGGTAAATTGAGGACCCAGTTGTGGGGGCAATAAGCTGACTTTGTATAAATAAACAAAAGGATGAAGGCTATTGCTGAGCACATTGTAAGCCGCCCTGAGTCTCCGGAGAAGGGCGGCATATAACAAATTAAAAAAAAAAAAAAAAAAAGCTCCGAGCACCAAAGAACCCACAGTCGTCTTCCTCCTCCTCCTCCTCCTCCCTCCTCCTCCTCCTCCTCCTCCTCCTCCTCCTCCTCCCCCCCCCTCATCACAAACCCTCACTCCCTTCTAGCATGGGTGATGTTACCTAGTCGGGTCAGGAAACATCTAAACACTAAGGACCCCACAGTTGTCCTCTTCCCCTTCCCCTTCCCCTTCCCCTCCTTCTCCTGCTCCTTCTCCTTCTCCTTCTCCTTCTCCTCCTCCTCCTTCTTCTTCCTCCCTCCTCCCTCCTCCCAACAAACTCCACTCCCTTGTAGACAAATGATGTTCCCAAGTTGGGTCATGAAATGTCTGCAAAAAAACAACCAAGCTCAGAGAGCAGTAAGGAGCCCACATTCCTCCTTCTCCACCCCCCAACAAACCCCACTCACTCCCTTCAAGACTGAAGATGTTTCCATAGTTGGGTCATGAAATGCCTGCAAGAAAATGTACCAAATTCAGAGAGCAGCAAGGACCCTACAGTCCTCTTCCTCCTCCTCTTCCGCCTTCCCCTCCTCTTCCTCCTCTTCTCCCCCCCCCCAACAAACCCCTCTAGATTGATGATGTTCCCAAGTTGGGTCATGAAACATCTGCAAGAAAACCACCAAAGCTCAGCAAGCACCAAGGATCCCTCATCTCATTCCCTGAGCTACAAGGATTCCCTTGATCGAAACCTTGCTTGAGATCTATTGCGAATCCTGTGTGTAGAGAAGAGTCTCTTTTGGGGGGGGGGGACGGGGACTCTGCAATCTCCTTTCCTTTTAAATTCTCCCTGTTGCCTATGATCTAGAAGGCGGCTCTTTAAGTTCAGCCTTCTTAAGCCTCTCTCTCTGGCTTCATATCAGAATGAAGCCATAATTGGGTTCTTGCTTCTGGGTGACTCTATTGTTTTTCATTGTCTCATCTGTATAAAATCATTATTAAACTGTCAGGGGTGCATAATGTGGTGGGGTTTTTTTTGTTTGGATCTCCCTGTTCTTTGTCCTCAAGGCAAACAGCTGTTGGCTTATCAAAAGGCCCAAAATGATTCCACGAAGGCGGGCGATCTGTCTCCTGAGAAATGGGAGAACTGATAAATATTGTTGCCTGTAGCTTTGTGATAGGTGCCGTTGAAATGAGACCTTTGCAGTCATTGTGTGCCTCCATGCAAACACGTTAATGGCATAATTCCTGGAGCCGCCTCGCATTTCTGCAGTCTCTCCTTTGTATTCCACTCACATTAATTGAAGTAATTTTGCCACTGAAGCGTGTTTCCAACCTCTGCATTTAAATTGAAATTTTAATTCCCTCATTGTTTGGCCAAGACGTCTGAAGATGGCTTGTTACAGGTTTCATTATCACTCAAAACACTCCAGCTGCTTCTAATGTGCAATGATTAATTCTGGGAAGACTTATTAATGTAAGGAAGGAAACCTTTCCCTGCCCCCCAGAAGCTGGAGCAAAGAAGCAAAGGCATCTTGGCACTGGCTGCTATTTGTACGGGGCTAGATGAAGGAAAATGTGTGTTTGTAGCTGGCTGTCTCAGGGACTCGCTTAAAATTTGCAGACAGGAGCTTTCCAAGTTATCAGGAGGATGTCCTGTGTCGGCGTTTCAGGACTAAATTCAGGAACTGTGATTTGGAAGGGTGCCATCTTCGTCCCTCGTGTGCAAGACGACGGTGTGTCCTGCCTGCCGGTATAACGCTTGCACTAACAAATAAGTTGTCTTATTCACCAGATTGGAAGAAAAAGAAGATTATGGATCGTAGGAGATGACCGAGGGAGGGGTTAAACATGTCATAAGTCACGAGTCCTTGTGGCCCCACAAGAGATCTTGAATGCCTTTTTTATCTCCTGCTCATTTCCCTGGACTGTTAGTTGGTCAGATTCTTGTAGAGAGCTTAAGCTTGCAATAAATCTTTAGACTCGTTTGAACTGCTTGAATCTCCTGATTTGGCTTGACCGAGTAGCGGTCAAGGGAAATGAGTGGGAGATAAGAATGGCATTCAAGGTGGACTGGACTCTTGTGGGTGGGAAGAAACTCGTGATTTATGACATGTTTGATCCCTCCCTCGGGCTGAGCCGGGTCATCTCCTACACA